CAACTTTATTTTGGAACTGTTAAATTAAGCGTAGAAATTTATTCTTATGCTATTTCTTAATCACAATTCAAAGAAAAATAAGGAAATTTGCATTAGTTCTTAGGTTTTGGTTTTTCTATGATGTAAAGTGAGTAATTAAAACTATTTACATTTAAATCATGGTAATTGCATATCTATTTATACTAGACATTTATTGTTATTTTGTTGATTTCATTAATATATATGTTCTAGTATGTCTATTTAGAATAAAATGCTTAAGAGTCAATTGCTTAATATATTGTGTTGTTTTTAATGTATGATATATTCAATAACAATGAGTATCTTTAATCTATCGGGAATTGAAGAATATGTAACTTTTATGATTTTATTGATGTTCATACCTGTATTTAATAAGAGTTCCTTTCATTTAATGTAATATTCATACAGTTAATTTCTGAATTATAATTATTGGAGTACAGAAGAGACTCACACTTTATATTTGATATTAACAATAAAATTAACATATATTAATTATTTAATTAAATATTAATATACCAATAAAGTGAGTTCATTCCAATATCTCATCACGAATAATCTAGATGCTCATTTACCTCCCAGAATTGCTCATGCAGAAATTATTTGATGGAGAATTGTCAGATTTGTTTCCATTCTAATAAGTGTATTCAGAGTTTGTTAATGCAATAAATTAAACAGAGGGCTTTTTATTTATACCTCTTTAAGATTCATTATTGTTACTATGAATCTTAGTAAAAAATTGTTAAATATCTTCTTCTTTCAATCCTTATCTACATAATGGACATTAACTATTTTTCTTTGTCCAATCTTATAAGCATTAATCATGAAATATATGATTACAAGGAGTTATTCTAAATTTTTCTTTTTTCTCAAATTGCAACAAACAAATCGAGCATTCCTTCGATAAATATTCTTATAACATTTTTTAAGCAGGCATGTATTTATTCAAATGACCTTCCTCTAATACAGGTTTTACATAAGTAATCTTTTAATATTGCTTTTTATATGAGTAATAAATAAAAATTGAAACTATTATACCTGATAAGATTACTCCACATATTGTTAAAATTGCCCAAATTGGAAATTCATCAATTTCTATTTTACTAGTTTTATTATTTAAAATTACTTCAATTCTAATATCAGATTATTTTCTCTGTCCAAATTCTCATTGAATACTCCAATATATATTATGTATTCATTTAAATCCTTTATATTTTAAAAGTATTTCTTTAAATTAATATTTACATTCTATTTCTTATCTATTAGTTAATATCCTGAAAAAAAGTTAGGTTATTAAGCAAATTTTTCATAATCACCAGAGATAATCGAAATTCCCATAAGAGAATTGGAATTAGATATTTTCAACTATTCTTATCAATATTCATCTTACAATGTAATCCAAATTTTTCAATTGATAATATGCAAAAAACCAACTCTATCTACTCAAGTTAATTTAAACAAGTAAGTCAACATCAATAAAATTAACAGATTAATCACAATACAAACCATAAGCTGGAAATTTGCATTTTGGTTCCTTTAATTATTCAATCTAATTAGAATTAACTTTTTATTTTACATTATCGTATATAATTAACTTAAAACTCATTTTTGAGTCAGTTTCGTTAATACTTTTGTAAACCTATTCCATTTTAGAATGTATATAGATGGTTAGGTTTTAATCTTCTTCCCTTTAACTTAACCACAATTAATGGATATGTTATTTTTAGGAATAAGTCTCATAATTTGAAGTTTAAATTGTTTAGTTCTTATTAAATATGTCAATTACAGGAAAACAATTTTTGTTAAGTGGAAACTGAACGATTTCAAACTATTAACTTAGTAACTTAATTTTTTTACTTTAATGATATATCCATGATTTTATTTGAATAAGTATTCGTAATTCATATCTATAAGTGTGAACTATTCTTCAAATATTTTCTTCGTAAAACCTACTACCAAGAATATTAATATATAATACATTAATTTAAATTTAATGAATTTACTATTAAATCAAAATCTAAATCGTTATTTCACTCTCTTAATTGTCTTAAACCTTTAGATATATAATTTAAAGATATTTGAAAGAAATTATATTCAATATTGTTTTATAATAAATAATCTTTGTCTAATAAATTAATCTAAATAGAATTGAGATTTATTTTCTATCTCTCAATGTATAATAAATTAATTTATTATTTTCTTTTAAGTTTTTATGTAATATCTGCGTATATAAATCACGAAAAATTAGATCAATATAAGTGCGATTATTATCAAAACAAAAATTTTTAATTTTGCTTTATTTCGAATTAAAAAAATAATTAAAAGTGTTCAATTTATAAAACAACAATTATTATTTACATCAATTTTATTTAATCCTGTTTATGATATCAGATAAGATAGTCTAATCAAGATATTTAGATTTTTGATTGAATTCTTTTTCAAATTTTTTAGTATCATCTTAATCCACACCTAATTCAAGTCTATATTTATAATAATGTTTACATTTATTTGAATTGGGCTTTTTATCCATACAGTAATTATAATTCAGGTGGTAAAAATTCAATGTTTTTTTTAAAAAAAATATTTAGATCATTATTTTATGGGAGTTCTTTAATTGGATAATAAGGTTCAAAAGAGGGATAGTCCAAAAATGAGATCAATTTTTATTTGAATTCTTTTGATATTGAAATATTTTTCTACCTGTTTAATCATCTAAAAGTAATTTTTATGCAATCTGAAATCTTTTTTCATAAGCTTTTTATATTTATTCCCTAATTTAATTTCCGATTAAAACATAGTTTTCTTTATCTAATTTATTTTCATAACAATAAGCATGTACAAACTCATCAATACTATTAAATAGGTTGAAAATGAATACTAATTAAATGCATTTTATAAATCCCATTATATGGTCTCTTTGATTTTGGATGTATTAATTTGTAAATTTATCATGGAATCATTTTTATCAATAAATGATTCAAATGCTAAAATATCTTGTATATATTTATATTTTTGATAATCGTCTATTGCTTATTTGACTTAAAATAAGCAATCTTCAATAATTTCTAATTAATGATAAACTAATTATAATACAATGTGCTTCAAAGGCAGTAAGCTTTGAAATTTTATTTGGATATTTATCTTCTAATAAATCTATTATAATGGCGAACAGATTTCTAAATAATTTTTCATCTGACTAATCATCCTCAAAGTCCCATAAAATTTGTTCTTCTAAGATAGTCTCCTTACTGTTCAGTGAAGCTAAGGGAATGTTGAGTTTAATAGGATAGAGATTTTGAGCTATAGTTTGCTTTCCAGGTGGTAATGGACATAATTTTATGTTATTTTACAATTTTTCATTACGAGTCTTAATTTTGTGAATTTTCTTTTTAATGCAATCAAGTTAAGCGATTGATTCAGATAGTTTAGTGTTCTGCATTAATAACAAAAAATTAAAAATTAAAAATATTTAAAAATCTTTTTATAATATCAATTTTTTAAAGATATTACTAAAATGATTGAAATAGATTTACATCTATATTCTAAAACATCATTAAATATTTATTATTAATAAAAGTTTAAAAAAACTTTCTTTAAAAACTTTTCTTAAATAATTTACTCATTTAAAATTTTCATTCTAAAATTATTATATTTTTATGATTAGACTACAAAGATTAATATATTTAAATGAAATAAATATACTTATAGTTTTAATCACATATTGATATCAAGAAAGAATAACAACATAAGAAACTTCAAAGAATTAAAAATAGATCAATAAGTAAGAAATTTATAAATAGTTTATATAGAAGAATCCAAATATCATAGAGAGTGATTAATAACAATCTAGAATGATTGAAAGTTTAATTTAAGTATAAAAAATAATAATGATAATAAAAGTGATATAAATATTGCTTGTAATAATTGAATTGGTTGTGTGTTAAAAAGAATAAGCAAATACAGCAGCATATGCAGCCTAATAATAAGGAGCAATGGCAGCAGCAATAGCATAAGCTGCTCCATATGCAGCAATGGGTATTCCAATAACAATTAAACCATAAACTCCTCCTCCTTAACCTGATCCTCCTTCAATAGGAACAGAACCAGAGCCATCAGAATATAATGATCTTTTTACTTATTCAGGGTATTTTGATCCTTATAATGATGATGTTCATGCCTTTATGATTAATGGAAAGAGAAGGAAAAGACATAGAGTAAATTGTGGGAGAGATAGAAAAGGAAGATATTGCGATTTTAGAAGATCTCATCATTAACATGGTTTATATAATAGAGATTGCATTCATTATGCAGGATCCTTAGAAATATTTGGAGTTTGGTAATGTGGTTCCAGAAAACAATTATCAACAGGAGCCGTTATAAGATTTTTAGTAGAATTACATGAACTTGTGTTAGCATATAAATAATAAAAAAATGATTATGCTATTTAAAGATTTTAAAGAGTTATGGAATACAATAGAGATCTTTATGCTAAATTAAAAAGAACATTTAAGGCTAATATTAAAAAGAATATTGAATTTGTTATGGAAATCTTAGATAAAACAAATGAATAAGTTATACAAAACTTTTAATAAATTTTAGATATGTCAAAAGAGATATTAGCTGATATAAGAAAAGATAGAGAAGCAGAATTGGAAGAGTTGAAAAGTTAGTTACAAGAATTATTAGAAAATTTTCCACCTCCTTCAAGCATATGTTAATAATTAAGAGATTGTGATAGTTGTTTATCAAGAGATGGATGTATATGGTGCACTGAAGAATAAAGTTGTTAAGAGGGAAACGCAAGAGATGGAGCATTTTTTAATAGTTGTGATATTTGGGTTAGTGGTTAAGAATGTCCTGAAGAAGCTTAGTATAATATAGATAAGAAGATTAGTTATAAAAATGAATTAGAAGATTATTATAATTAATCTGATTTGGAATTAGATTAAAAATTGTATTTAGCATCAAAGTAGAGAGATATGATTTAATTAAAAAATTAAATTGAAAATAGAAGAGTTGTTGTAGATCAAATGAATAGTATAGAAAGAAATTTAAAATAAAGAAGTATATAAATTATAGATGAATTTTCTAAAAATAAGGAATATGATGGAGAATTTCTTGCAAAAATTATGGATGAAGATGCAGAAGGTTAATGGGCTGATTATAAAAAAGAAACTAAAAAACTATTTAAAGAGGATCAGGAAGCTTAAAAAGAATAAGATGCAGAAGAATTAGAAAAAAGGAAATAACAATCTGAAAAAGATAAACAGAGAGAAGAGTTCGAAAAAAAAGAGTTGGAGAAGAGAAATGAATCTACAGTCATTAACAAATCTAAATATAAGGATAGAACTAGTGTAGAAGATGTTTTAGAAAAAGAATAAGGAAAATTAGAAAAATAAGAAGAAAAATGATTTTACATAAAATAATTATTAATTAACTTATTATAATCAAACTTTTTTTTTGTTATATTATTAGGATGAATTAATTAATTAGTAGAATAAAATAATTATCCATTTGAACATATAAAATAAATTTCTTATAAAAATAAGAATTTATTTTCATTAGAACTCTAATAATTAAGAAAAAAACTGTGTATTTATCAGGGTAAAATTTGAAGTTGTTTTTTAAATTAGTATTTAAGATTTACTTAAAATTCAAATAAAAGAATTGGTTTTAATAATGTGATTTATTTTATAAATAATTGTCTTATACATATTCTGATATTTTATTTAGATAAATTTTCTATCTAGCTGGAATACATTTAATAATACAATGTATTTAATAAAAGAAATATATATAATTTTATATAACATATTACCTAAATGTAGCAATAATAATAACAATTAAGATCATCTTAAATCAGAAGGCAATCTTCAACTTAATCAAATAGTGCACTTGATGAACCATTTCTAAAATTTTTGGCTGAAAGTAATTATTTGGAAAGTGAATAATCATCACAAGAAAAGCATCAAAAATTAACCAAATGCAAAACTGAACATTCTCTTTAGCCAATTTAGTTTATTAACTCAAATTCATTTACTGTTAGTGATAAGAAGGTAAAAATAAAATTAAATATAATAGTTTTCATTTCCAACTAATGAAATTCTTGAATGGGAAACTTTATAAATAACGTTGCCTCCAGAAGTGTATCAATTTTTATTGTATATGAAAACCTAATGTAGTAATGGTACGATCGTTTATACAAACGAATAAATATAAGGTTTGTTAGATGATAGTAAAGTAATCATGTATAAATATATCTATTAAAAATAGTAAAAATTAATTAGAATTATTTTAAAAATTGATAGACAAAGGATGGATATCAAAAACAACAAGATTGTTCAATGATATTGCAATTAATTTTTATGCATTATCAGTTAAGAAATTAACTTATGAAAATTTGGTTTGGATTATTAGATCAATTAAAAGAGATTTGATTACTCCAACAGAAAGATTAGTTCAGAGTAGAATTAAAGAATGTTATGGTTTAAAATACAATAGAGTAGAATGGGAACTAATTATGAATTAGTTAAAATCCCAAAAACAATAGATAAAATTTCGTTCATCTAATGGAAAATTGATTGAATTGCCATTACTATCTGTAAAGAATATTAAGGATCCTTTAATATAAGAGGAAACATATGGAATTTATATTTATTAATAGAATTGGATAGTAGAGGATGAATTTTAAATAGAATTGGATAAAAAATAAGAATGGACTATTTTTATAGAATTTTTGATGGATTTTTTTGCTAAAACTAATGCTCAAAATAACAAAATATTAAAAGGTGGTAGATATGGATGTGCATAATTCATCAAATTATTAGGACCTAAGAAATTAAGAGATTTATCACTTGGAAGATTAACTCTTTATGTTTAAATGGCAGTTAATAAAAATTACATTAGATATAATAAAACTATTTTGATATAAGAAAGCAGAGAAAAATCAGAACATACAACAGATAGTTCTGTTGATGGAGATCCTTAAATTAAAATTAGAGTCAAAGAACTATAAGAGTAATTAATAGAGTTGCTATTAGAAAATCCTGATGGGTATGATCTAATAATTAAATAAGAGTGTATCGTTGGCTTAAATACCTACATTATTAAAAGAAAGAATTAATTTTGAATTAAATTTAATTGAATTAGGATTTCCTAAACTTAAAAATTTCATAGAAAGTGTAAAAGATGTTATTTCCATTGAAAACAGTGGTAGAAACAATTTTATTGCTAAATTAAATTATTCAAAATTACCTAAGAAATATTAAAGTAATTTATTAAATTATAAATTATTAGAAGTCAAATAAAGTGAATCATTTAATTAAAAATATATATATACTGTTTTATAAATGATTAAAAATATATTGAGTAAACATAAATATGGAATCAGCATTAATCAATTATATTACGATTTATCTTAATAATAAGGAGAATGGTTTAATTATCAAAGATTTTAATGCTAAAGTTTTTTTTAATTTTTGTAAAATTATGCTGAGAATATTTTAGTAATAGTCTGCTAAAAAGAAAATCAATATTTAATTTATGAAAGAGATATAAGATTTCTACCTCCTCCATAAACAACTTAAGATATCAATGATCAATAATTTGAATATATTTTAAGTGAAGCCTTTTAATGTAGTTTAGGATTATCAATACCATAATCAAGTTTCTCTAGTAGTTGGCTTGGTAAAGTAGGAGATTCACAAATAAGATAAAAGTCACCTCCTAGGATTGAAGACTCTCATTAAGAAATTAAAGATAATCTCAAATTTATTGATGAATTATTAGGTAATCATTCTATTTTAAGTTTAGGAAACGAAAATAAATAAAATGATACTTATTCAATTCAAGATTGGTCTGAGAAATCAATGAATCCATTAGGAATGATTAGTTCAATAAATTATGGTCATAGTGAAATTTAAGATTTTGATCTTACTAAAGAATTACAATTCTCATAGTAACAATAGTAGTAATAACAATAAAATTAAGATATGAAAAAAAAATGAAAAATTTTTGTTTTATTTATTTTACTAATTTTTTCTATTTATTTTTATTTATTTGCTATATTATTAGAAAATATAAAGAAAAAATATATTTTTAGAATGAAAACTTTTAAAATTTAATTTCATGTAAAATCTTCTGAAATAACACTCAAAATTGCAATCTTTATCTCCAAATTCAAATAATTTTCTAATTCTTTTATTAATTCTTTTTCCACCTACTCAGCCGTCTCAAATAATCTATTCAGTTCGAAACTTGCTGTTCTTAATACATTCTTATATAACAAAGAGTAGAATATGGAAGCAATTTTACTTTATGATATGATTTAAACTTGTAAGTTAAAATTTTATTTAACTTTTTTTTGTTATTATAACATTTTCTAATATTAATTCTCAACTCTAATTTATATCTTTTCCATACATTCACCCAAGCGCTTATTGTATTTCTATGAACACAAACGAATTTATTCAAGAGGATCTTCTAGATTCTCTAATAAAATTCTAACTGAGGATTAAAAATTTTTAAGTTAATCTATTAACAATAGATTCTTCATCATTTCAATAATTTAATTTTAATTCTTATCCTTATAATCGTAGAAAGGATCAATCTTCCAAAATTAATAAAATTAATGATGATAATCTTTTAATTTATGAAGTTTATGTCTTCTTTATTTAGTTTTTAAATCATCAAACATGAGTTATTATTTATCGACATCAACATTTCTAAATAATATTTAAAATAATAATTACTCAGCTTAGAATTTTTGAATTATTTCAATAAAATCGATAATAGATTCTTTTTAAGAAATTTTTGTTATTAAATTACTTATTTCACTATTTTTTTCATAATTTTATAATAAATCTAAGATAGCCTTTTTGATATTTTAAATATCAATTTTTCTATTCAATGGACAATATTTTGAATAATTAATAAAATGGATTTTCTCAATTTCAATTTTTGATTAAATAATGTTAAATTATTGACTAGTGCTTCTAAGAAATATAAAAATATTCTAATTGTTTAAATTTCCATGATTGAATTTCTTTACATCTAATAATATTTTTAAATGTTTTAAAATTCTATTAATAATGATTATAGCTTATCCTATATAGATTAGAATATATTGATTACGCTAAATAATAAATAATAACTTACAATGGAATCTATTAAACTTTATAAGCTGATATATAAATTTTAAGGGAAAACTAACAGATAATAATCATCATGTTAAATAATTGTCTCATATTTTTCAAAATCGATTATTTTCTATTAATCTGGTGAATTGGCTTGATAAATATAGATACAATGCTGGCAATATTCCATATTAAGTTATTCAAAAAATATAAAAAATAATTATATTCATTGAGAATGAAAGAAATGAAATTCAATCATTTTTTTTAATTTTTATATAGAACTAATTGTTTTGGTAATTCATCCAAAAGTTCTTTAGCTAGTTTTCCTTGGTCATTCTTAACTTAATTGTAATGAACATATTTAACTAAATCTCTCTAAGCTTATCTACCAAGAGTGTCTTATAATCCATTATTACCATCTAATTTATCCATAGCTTTCAAATCAGCTGAATCTCCAATACCAACAATAATAAGAGACAAAGGTAGTTTTCCAGCATCTACTATAGAGACAATAGTTTAATCCTCATCCATATATTTTCCATCAGTTAATATTAACAATACAAAATATTAATTACCATTTACATTTAAGTCTTCTTAAGCCCATTTCATAGCTTATCTTATCATAGGATTAAAACAAGTAGGTCCATCAAATTTTATATTTTTTACAGAGTATTCATATATTTTTTTGATATCATCTAAACTATGTGCTTCTCCTTATAATGGAAAACAATGTTTATTATAATTTTATAAATAATTTGGTATTCCTCCAAATCCATACATAGGAATCTTTTTGTCACTATCATAATCCATCAAAATGTTAGCCACTTATTCTATTGCTTATAAATATTAGCTCTCCTTTTTTATTGAATGTAATGATTCATCATTATAAGGATTCTTATTGCTCTCAGTAAAGTCTATTGCTATTATCAATGCCAATTAAGTTCCTTATTCTATAAATATTTAAATGAAAAAGATATATACATATCAAATTATAAAATTGACCTTCAACATCATATTCAAATTGATCAATCATTGATCTTCCTATTATTTCATTATTTAAATTTGTAATATTGAACATATTCACATTTTTATCTATTTAGTATTTCCAAAATTCAAATTCACCAAGACTTTATTAATTAAATCCTTCATGTTAAATCACTAAAATACTATATTCACTTACCTTCACAATATATTGATTATAATGGATCATTATCACAAAGAATTTCAAAGGATGTTTCTATTCTCTTCCAATTCATTTATAATTACTTTTGTTTTGCTTCTGTTTAAAGTATTACTTATTTATTTGGGATCTTTTTATATAAAATCAGTGACACAGATTATTACTCTTTAAATAAACTTAACAAGGACTAAAACAAAGAATTATTTAATTGTAAGTAAATCTAATTATTCATAATTCCTATTTACATCAAATTTTATTTTTTAAATATTTTCTTTGCTCCTCTCAGTTTTAAAAGAAATCATTCCATTTCTCTAATTCATTAAATCTGATAAATAAAAAATTCTTTATTTATCTCCTATTATTTCTCCCAAATTTGCTTAACATTACCCTAAATTTACTATAAATTCTAAACCTATAAATTATTAACCCTAATAAAGATCAAATTTTAAAGGCTGAATAACTTCAAATAAATATTTTAAACCATAAAATTTAAATATTACATGATGATCATTAGAATAATTCTATTTTTAAGATTTTTCTTTACATCAATAACTTTGAATTCTTAAAATACTCCATCAGGATCCTTAGTAAACACAATTAATTAATAGTTTAATCCATAACGTAATCCATTTATTTGTTTACAATAAACTTAAATATTAATCGAATAGCCTGGCTGATTTTATTAATACATAAAATTTTAATTCTAAAATATAGCCAACTTAGAAAATTGAAAAAAGTCTGAATGATTAAGTTCTTAAAAGCATATAAGACTATTCCCATCTTATAAATGCTAGAAACTATTAACACTATAATTTATTAATCATTAATATCAATACAAAAAATGATGAATCAAATACATCATTAGATTACAAAAAAATGATTAATATTTTACATTTTTATATATGACATTTAATTCAATGGTTTCATCAATTATAAATCAAAATTGACTAAATCAAAAATCTATTTTGATTTAAATAAAAAAATATAAATTAGTAGAATTCTTTATCTACAACAAAAATAATAATCAAATTTCATATGACAAGAATTTGAAGATTTCAAATAATATTGCTAACAAGTATTAAAATCTAATAAAAAGAATTAATTTTTTTTAGTGATTATTAATCTACTTAAGAAAAGAAACAATAAATAATTAATAATTTTCATCACATAAAAAGTATTACGAAAAGGTTCTTTATTTATTGGAAAACTATAAGTCAATAAAAGGAGATTATAGAATTTTATAAAGAAAACCATTTATTTAATATGTTAACAGAAAATACAATAATCAAAAAAAGAAAGAAAATATTTCAATCGTAGAGAAAAAAAAACAAAGGTCCATTTATGATAAATTTATGTTAGTCAATTATTTATTATTTAAAATTATTAGTCTAATGATGGATTAAATAAAAAATGTTGATTCTTACTTAGATACTTTGTTAGGAGATTTTACAAACTCTAAATGCTATAAATATGCTTAAAAGATAGTTTCTATTAAATCTTAGAAAATTTTCCAGGAATTGGATTGTCATTAGTTATTCATCAATCGAAACCAATAACATTTAGATGTGTCTTTTAGGTCCTAATCTGCTTAAATCTCTTTTCCAATTAGGTACTATATCAAAAATAGTAAGAAAGATTGATTGCTTTGGTTAAATTGAAGTTAAAACCTTTACGAAAGAAGAAATAGATTCTTTGAGAAAAGAACGAGGAGAAAGAGCACAATTAAAACTAAGAAAAATTTAAGAAGCATCATAGAAGAGAAAATAAGACTTTTTAGAATCTTGGAAAAAAACTTAACAAATTCAGCATTAGAAACCATTATTTTAAATACTTTAAGAATAAGAAAATGCATATATAAAACAATAATAGGAGATAATGCAACATAAATTAGAGTAAATCAAACTAGAAAGAAAGCCTTTAAGTAAAATAGATTTTGAGGAACATAAAAAAAAATTTTGTGAAATAATTAATAAATCAAGATAGAAGTCTAACGAATCAAAATCGAATTAAAAAAAAAATTCAATAAGTCCTGAAAAATCTATTTATTATTTAAAAATAGAACAAGAGAAAGCTAAATATAAATAATTAGAATAGGAGAGAAAAAACTAGTTACTAGAATTATAGGAGAAAAAAAAGATTTTTTCTGAAGAAACTAAAAAAAGATTTAAACCGAAGTTAAGTTTAGAAAAATAAAATGAGCTATTAGAAATTTAGAGTAAGTTGCATCATCGGTCTGATTTCTAAAAATATTAAGTTTTAGCAAATAAAGTTAGATAAAAAAAGATTTCGTATTAAATTAATGAAACTGATGAAGAGGCAAAATCATTGATTAATTTTATAAAAAATAAAGATTAAAACACATCTTATGATATTGCTAGTTAAGATACTCAATTACCTAAATTGAAACATAAGAGTTTTATAATAGAAACAAATACTTAGCAATAAAATATGAATTATTGGTAAAGAGTAGCACTGAATCAAAATTTATCAATTAAAGATAAAAATCAAATTATTACAGAATAAGCAAAAAAGTAAATTTAGATAATAATTTAGGTTAGAAGATTTGTCCAAAAAATAAGAATAATTAGCACGAGTTACAGGTTATGAAAGTTAAGAAGCAGACAATCTTTTGATTAGTTCCATCAAAGCTAAATTGACAGTTTTAGAAAATTGAATTTTTGGCATACAAATATTTATTATCATGTAATTGCTATATTGTATAAAATCATTAATATTGATATAATATTTTATTGGGTAGATGAAAGCAAATTAACAAACTATAATTAGGAGTTTTACTAAATAAAAGAATAGTTAGAAAATAATTATATTTTACTATTCGTTCTTTAATATGTAAGAATAAATACTAGATATTTATAGCTTCATTAGTTGTAAGTTAGTAATCTATATTTATTTAAATATATATATTCATTAAAAAGCTAAATTTAGTTTCTGTTAGATCTTATTTAATTTTATATTTAACAAAAGCAATTTGCACTTTACTATTTATTATAAACTTAGATAAATTCCTTTATTTTTAGAGATAGCTAAACGACTGAATCTATAAATTTAGATTAAATTTTGACCTAATCATTATTTATAACAAACAAAAATATTAATTTATGATTTTCATATTTACAATTCTTTTCTATCTATTGACTCATTATATAACCCTCTTTAAATAATAATTATTGTAATTTATATTTAGGGTCTTCATCCTTCTATAATCAATCAACCTATATATAATCAGATATAAATAAACCATTCAACTACTTATTTACATCTGGAGTTATTTGCTGCTACTAAATTTTATTGTGTATGATTTTAATTTTTTTCAGCTATTTTTTATTAGTCATATTTTTTATCATTAAAGCTTTAAATTAGAACTTTTCCATCCATTTTAAATTTCTGGAATATTAGAAACCAAGATCAAGGAGAATTAAAACTTTTGCACTAATCCACAACAGCATGTTTATTATTTTGCATTTTTCATGCTATTTTCTAAATGCTCCTATATTTCATCCAATCCAATAAAATATGATTTAGATAAAGCAAGAATTGAGCTAATGAACTGATAGCAATAATAAATTATAAGGCTTGAACTGCTATAAAAAGGAAGCCGTTAAAAATTAAATCCAAATTAAAATGCAGATAGTTCTATTTAGGCTTTATTATGATTAGAATAAAAATTTATGTAAAAATGAATTTTTTCGAATGGAGGAATTGTAAAATCAAAACAAAGTTATTAAATCTATTATCTTTCATTTAATATTCAAATTTAAATGAATGTTAACTCTGTAAAAATAAACATAATTTGAAATTTAAAAATAAATGAAAACTATTAATCAAAAAGAATGCTACAGAAAAATTAAAGAAATATCTCTTAAGATATCCAATCAAAGCATAAATTTATTAAAATATTTTTTTCCTAATATCAATATTTATGCTTCTCTTAAAAAAATTTATATATAATACCAATGAAGTTTTGTTATTATATTTAAAAAATAGATTAAAATATTAACTAATAAGAATTAGGATTTAGATTATGTATTGGGTTTATATTAAATTGATAACATAGGATAACAGAAAATTATTTAGAATATTTTTGAGTTAATTAATATGTTTAAATATATAAAAATTTTTTCTCAAATAAAATACATTTTTAATTGCATATTAAATATATACTCTCTTTCTAAATGATTTAAAATTATTTAACAAACTTCTTAAACAAAGCACTTAAGGTTTAAATAAGAATCTCAGTTTTTATTCAAGTTTAATAATTAATTGCAAATTATTTTAGATATTATAAATGAATAGAAATGAAAAGCAAATCGAACATTACCGTTACAATTATAAAAAAGGAAAAATTGGGAAAGGGTCCTATGCAACTGTCTTTAAAGGAGTGGATACCAAATCAAAATAAAATGTTGCGATTAAACAAATTCATAAGGCAGATCTTTAAAATGCAGGTTCTATTGTATTTATATTAGTTTAGATGATGAAGAGCACTTGCTGAATGAGATTAACATCCTTAAGAGAATAAAGAATCCAAACATAATTGAAATACTTGATGTTCTATAAACAAAAGATCATTATTATATTATATTAGAATATTGTAATCTAGGAGATTTAGATTCTTTACTTTAATAGAAGAATATCATCAAATTGGAAGATCATGTAACCTTCTTGTAAGACATTCTAAATGCATTTACGACACTAATTAGATAAGGAATAGCACATAGGGATCTTAAACCAGCAAATATATTAGTTAATTAAGAAGGAAAAAGAAAGATCTTTAAGTTAGCGGATTTTGGATATGCAAAGACTATATTTAACTATAATGCATAAATTTTAAAGAGTAATTTGGGAACTCCAGCATATATGAGCCCATAATTACTAAAAGAAGAACAATACACAACTAAAAGTGATATTTGGAGTTTTGGGATAATTTTATATTAAATTATATTCAACACTCGTATTATTTTAAGCTAATATAGTTCCTTGGGTAGGAAAATCAGAAAATGATTTAATTTAAATTATTTCAAGTGTTCCGATACAATTTCCTTAAAATCCAAAAGTTTCATCCATTTGTTAAGATTTTATTATAAATTGTTTATAAGTGAATGAAGATAAAAGATTAAATTGGGATGATTTATTTAGACATCCATATGTATGCAATTATTTTGGAAAAGTTGACATATAATAAAATAGCGGTTTGAAAAAGATGTTTATACTATCTTAGAGCCTAAGATAGAAGTTAGGGTAAGAAGAATAAATGGATTAGTTATTTATTAATTTAAATATTTAAGATAGATAATGTTAATTAAATTCTGAAGATTTTAGAAATTTTATTAAGTAAATAAATAAAAATGAGAGTTTAAGCGAAGACGATATTTAATGTTTATTTTAGGAATTTTAAATTGATGGGAAAGTAAATTATAAGGAATTTAAAAATTGTGTATTTTATAACCATCCAAAAAGAGTAAAAATTGTTCGACATTTATCTAATTCAAATATTAAAATACTTTCAAAATTAGCAATAGCTTTGAAATAATATAATATAAAAGAGTTGTTTGAATAATTTGCAACTACAAAAAAAGACACATTAGAAAGACATCAATTTTCAAAAATGATTAAAATTTTTGCAAATACAAGTTCTTTGACTAATCAAAATGTAAGAATTGGCTATTAGTAATTTTAGATAAAAGAGATAATTGATTTTTTCGATGATAATGGAGATGGAATGATTTAATTTTCTGAATTTAATAATGTTTTGAGATATGTATAATAAATCGATAGGACACCACATAGTGATAATAGATTGGATACAATAACTGAATTGGATGAAATATCATTTATTTAAGAGAACCACAGCAATTATAGCAATATCAATTAAAATTAAAAGTTTGATAAAAGATCAGATTAAAAAATCAGTATATGCGAATGTATTACTTTTTGATTTTAATCTCATTTAATATAAAAATAAGTGAAATTTTACAATCAATTAAAATTTGAGAATATAAATAATTTTTAGCCGATTGAAACAGTAAATTCTAAATTTGAAATAATTATGAATTAAGAAATGAATTTAACTTTTTAAAAAAGAAAGAGAATTTAATATAAAAGAACAAAACATATAATGATAAAATTTAAAGTCAAGGCATTTCTATTTCGCCATATTCTAATAATCTCTTTTCATAAACAATATATTATTGTTCATCAATAAACAATTCATAATTCATATATTCTAAGAATTCTTATTCTAATTTATTTATTTCTTTCACATTAACTCCACCAACTTTTGCATAGTATTCATTCTTATAATAATCATCATCTTAAAATTTAATTGCAGTTACAATAGCTAGAAGCAAAAATCTATAAAAATTGTATAAAAAATAGATATACCTATGTATACAATGAGAATTTAATACGAGATATGCATGTTTTTCTTAAAGTCTGTCAAGGTATATGAGAGCAATAACAAAACATTATTCACTACAATGTGTGTATTTGCTTATTCTTTGTAAGTAATTGTAAATTGTTATTCCTGGAGCTGCTACTGCATGAAAGTTAGAATTCGATTCTAATTCAAGAGAATCAGTTTCTTTAATAATTTCCTCTAGAATGTTTGAGATTGTCAAGAGGATCGGATTCGATTGTTGCATCAATTTAAATATACAATAATATTAATAATAAAATATCCTTTTTTTATCAAATTATGCTACATTCGCAATCGCAATCATAACTGGGTATTTTTTGATATAATTCAAATCATTCTGCTATATGAGATTTATGACCAACATATTTACATCTCAAAAACCAAGTATCTGCTTTTTAAATTTTTAACTTCACCAAAATTCTTTATTAGTTAGATCATCTTTTTCAATATATGTATAATTTAATTATTTGCTCTTGTACAATATTATGTACAAACAACAATTTTAATTAGACATGATTACAAGAAGCACTAAAAAGTTTGCTATTGGATTTTAATTATTATCTCAAACAAGATTTCTAAGTTGTTGTTGTAAAATTTTTAATTTCATAAGCTCTTCTAGGGTATTCTCTTCTTTATATTTCTAAATAAAGTTATCCGATAAGATTTGATCAAAAATTACATGCATTGAAATTTGGGGAGATAAGTACTGTTTGAAAGCTTCATTAAAAGATAGTTTATTATATTCAATCTCAATTTATTTAATCCTACATAACTGTGCATTTTTAGGTATCTCTTTTATTAATAAATACTCAATTTAGGAGTTAGTATCTATATATGTTATCTCCTTATGATAATCTAATATATATTAGTAAATAGTGTTAAACATTATTATATATCACCTTTATCATCAAAATACTAATCAAACTAAGAATAATATAGAAATTTCTTATCTCCCATTTAATAATATATTTATTAAGATGTTAGATATTAAGTTTTCCTTCCTTAAAAAAATCTCTCTAAAATCGTATACTATCAAAAATACTTATTTTATGAGCAACATTATTTAATATTCAATAAATTTAGCTATTTTAAAAAAAAATCAGCTATTAATTAATGATATGGATAAATAAACTTCTTTTAAAATTTAAATATCTATAAGAAATTTAAAATGTATACAGGTAATACCTGCTAATTTTGAATCTTCAGTTTTTGAAATACATTATGTACATATATTTTAAATCCTAATAATGATCTCCACTTTTCTTACCATATCTATTGATTCACTTGCTTATCTAATCATTTTTATAATATATATAGATAAAATATTCAATTTATTTTGCTTTATTTTCAGGCTGAATAAATATACATTCTAGCATAAAATTTCCTTTTGGTTTATAACTAACTTTTAGTTTCTTTTTTTAAATCATATTATGAACGAATTGCTCATAGTCAAGGTTTCTAAAGTTGAATATTATTAATTTATTATTTTAAACACTATTATTTTATTTCATCTAAACATAATTGAATGTATTAAAAATTCTTGTTTAGCAAAATAGCTATCATTTAGCTCTAATTGAAATACTATTGCAAGTCTCTCTTAAACTAAATCATGAAAAAAAATCATTTTCATGTTTTTAAATCTAAATTCCATTCTCTTATGCTCTTGCTGATATTTTAGTCTTTTGATATGTATTATAAGAACTCTTTATACTAAAGCAAATTTATGTAATTGTATAATTCTTCGGAGCTATACTCTTAATCATCATCTATTTCAATATTCGTTGAATTATATTATTCTAATTCTTTTATAATTCTCTATCAACAATTTTTATTTTAAATCCTGATTTGACTAATTTAAAGAAGATTATGCATAATACTAGAAATAATTATAATATTGAAATAAAGAAATTGAAGATCATGATTTTTATTTTAAAAGGAAATTTATAGTTTCTATTGTATTTCTGTTATAGGTTTGGAATGACAACAATTCTTCATGTTACAACTAAATTTTATATTATAATATACTTCATCTATAAAATCCTAATTATTTAATAATACTCTTGGCAAAGTATTATCAAAGCGAAGAATAAAATATTTAATAGTCTCACAAACAACATCTTTTAAATCTTCATACTAAGTTGTTATAGATTAAATTACTTCTATTCTTCTATCAAAATGTAAATATATATCTGATATTTCAATAAATTATCTGAATATTTAATTATACTCATGGTTTGAATCAAAAAAGTTTATAATTTCTATTTGAGAATCGGCCATAGTTTTATAATCTTGAAATATTTGCAATTATTTTGCGATTACTAAATAAATCAAACTCAAAGCTGTAATTTTTTCATTTTTCTTAAATCTATAATCAATAAGGCATATATCAAACAATTAGACTAATTCTCTATATCTATAATATGATTCATTAGTTCTTTCCTTTAATGTGACATTAAGTTCTTTATCAGCAACAAATTCATCCCATAATTTAGTATAATAATTCAACCAAAATATAGGAGTGTTTGGATTCATTCTAAATTCTAAAGATTTTAACATTTAAACTTCCATCTCCTCTATCTCTTGAATTGTATATTAATCTTAAATAAGTCGATGAAAATCTTTTAATGTTTTTGGATAAATTTCTTCACATTTATGAGCAATAAAAATAGCTGTTACTCCAAGAAGTTAAAATTTAGAAATTAAAATATTTGGTTATTTAAGAAGAAATCTTTCAACGTAATTTCTAGATAGATAAAATGTTTCCCTTTTAAAATGAAATGAATGAGCTACTTCAACCAACCAATCAAATAATATAGCTACCATATGACTTTAAATTTCTTTCTAGTTGTTTAAATAATTTTTTTAATAACTATAAATTTCTTCAAATTTTACTTATTCTCTCATAAACTCATTCAAAGTTTCTTACTCTTCTTCTTAGTTATTTTCTTAAGAATTATTAAATGTAAATGAAGAAAATTCTCTTGCAAACTCCTCACAAATCAAATTCTCCTATACTTATGTATTTAATTATTGAATTTTTTATTATGTGAATGGAATTTCGTCAAGCATAATGGGAGATATTGCTTTCTCATTCTTAACTTTCTTAGTGGTGGTTTATCTATGTTAAGAAAATACTAAATACTCATATTCACATGCCGCCTAATTGGATTTGAAATTAGCACTATCACAATTCGTTTTGGCTCCTAAATTTCTTTATTTTTGACCTTTTCTCAGTCTACTTTTCTACTTCTTTGAATTGTTTTACATTTTATTGACTCTTGGCTATGTAATAATGGTATTATTTAATTTAATTACTAATTGAATGAAAATTAAAATATTAGAATATCAAAGAGTTTCTTGTATTTTTCTAGAGAATTTAAAGGATAAAAAAATGAGTTTTATAAATTTAGGTATTATAATATATTGATGAATTATTAATATCCTAACAAAAAAACTCAAAATCATTATCCTCTCTTTTATTTTTTGAATTTAGCAATGATAGTTTCAATTTCATTGGGTGGGACTGGATCATGCCTTTTGTATTCAAGTGAAAATTCTCCTTATCCAGATGTAAAACCTCTTAATTCAGTAGCATAACCAAACATTTAAGATAAGGGTACATCTGCATTTAATACAAACATATCTCCTCTAGATTCAGTATTGGTAACAGATCCTCTTCTTTTAGCAATACCAACCATACATTATTAATATGATGGAGCAGGTACCATAATTTCAACAGCCATAACTGGTTCTAAGATTTCTGGTACAGCTTATCTAAAAGTTTAAGCGAATGCATATTTAGTAGCAGTCATAAATGCATTAGATGATGAATCTACAACATGTGTTTCCCCTCCTTCTAATACAAATCTAACATTAACAACAGGATATCCAGTTAAAGGACCTTTATCTACAGATTCATAGAATCCTTTTTCAACAGCAGTAATATATTCATTAGGAATACTAGTACCAATAACATGATTTTCAAATTGATTAGAGAATTATCCTTCTTCTAATTAGAGTGGTTCCATATATCCAATAACTTTAGCATATTGACCAGCACCTCCTGTTTATTTTTTATGTAAATAATCAAATTGTTATTTTTGAGTAATAGTTTCTCTATAATTAACAGTAGGTTATCCTAATTAAACATCAATTTCAAATTCTCTTCTCATACGTTCAGCATATATTTATAAATGTAATTCTCCCATTCCAGAAATAATAATTTCTTCACTTTCTTTATCCATATCAACATTAAAAGTAGGATCCTCTCTTTAAAATTTAGACAATGCTTTCTAAAATCTAGCAGAAAATTCTTTCTTTGTAGGTTTAATAGATAAAGACATTACTGGTTATGGAACAAACATACTTGAACATAAAACTTGATAACTCATATCACCATAAACTAAAGTATCACCACTTGAACAATCAACTCCAAAAACTGCAAAAATATCACCAGCTTCAACATCATTAATTTCTTCCATTTAATTTGCATGCATTTTAGCCATACGAGCAACTTTTACTCTTTTTTTAGTTTTCATATTATACACATAATCTCCTTTCTTTAATTTACCTTAATATACTCTAACATATGTTAATTATCCAAATTTATTTTCTTCTAATTTAAATGCATAACCAACAAAAGGTAATTTAGGATCTGTTTTAAATTCTATCTTTTTTTCTTCTTTTTAATCTAAAGATATTTAAAATCCATAATTCTTCTTTTCTTCTGGAGCAGGTAAATAATCTACCACACCGTCTAATGCTAATTAAACTCCCTTATTTTTATATGCACTTCCCATAAAAACAGGATAGAATTTATGATCTTAACAATTCTTTCTTATTGATTATTTTAATTTTTCTTCACTAATAGGTTACTCATTTAAATATAAATCCTCTATTTCTGGATCTATACTACCTAAAGTTTCAATTAATTCTTATCTTTTTTCTTTTGCTTCTTCTAAATATCTCTCTGGTATTTCTGTTTCTTTTACATCTTCTCCTTTTAATCCTTCAAAATAATATGCTTTCATTTTTATTAAATCTACTAATCCATTAAATGTTTAATCCGATCCAATTGGTATTTATACTGCTGCCACTGTTAATGATAATCTCTTCCTAATACTCTAAATAGCACTCCATGGATTCGCTCCCATTCTATCCAATTTATTTATAAATATGATTCTTGGTACTTTATATCGAGACATTTGTTTATGAACTGTTAATGTTTATGGTTATACTCCTGCCACTCCACAAATTAATAATACACCACCATCAAGTACTCTTAATGCTCTTTCTACTTCTATTGTAAAATCTACATGTCCTGGTGTATCTATTAAATTCACTTAATGTCCTTTCCATTTCAAATGAGTTGCAGCACTCTATATTGTTATACCCTTCTCTTTCTCAAGCTCCATAAAATCCATTGTTGCACCTGCTGAATCTGCACCTTTCACTTCATGTATTTCATGAATTCTTCCACCATAATATAACACTCTCTCAGAAAATGTTGTCTTACCAGAATCTATATGAGCTGAAACACCAATGTTTCTTATTAATTTATGTATTGGTTAACTAAACCAAAACATAGGAGTTCGCATAAATGACCTGAATCGGAATATATTATTCATCTCTTTAATTTTTACGAGAATTAAAAATTTAATTTAATTTTTTCTTTTTTTTATCTTTATCTATCCATCCAATCCATCTCTCTCTTTCCTTATTCTATTCAAAATATTATAAAACTA